CAATCCTCCTCCTCCGCTGCCGCCCCAAGGCTGCCGGTCGCCGAGCGCGACCGGGAGGTGGAATCCGTCTGCCAGAGGGCATCCCTTTCCAGTTTGGGGGCCCAGTTGCAGAGCCGAGCATCCCACCCACCAGTCTCACCTAAGACCCCTGTAGGGGTAGAAAAGAGAGGAACTACCACGAGGAGACCCGACAACGAGCCAGGGACCCGCGGGAAGACATAAAAAGGGGTTTGAGAAGACTCTTGCTATGTCCCTGATCAGTTGAGAGCTTTGGGAGTAAGGGGATAAAAAGATCTGGAAAGTGCTGCTCTGAGTGTGGGAAGGAGAGGCTGGAGTGTCGCTGCCAGTTATGCATACACTCAGGTGAGCCAACCTATACTAAACGAACAGGCATTACACATAAAACCACCCTCCTGCGTTCCACGTGAGTGGGCTCTCTACGCCAGGGGCGGGTGGGTGTGTGGGTGTGTGCCAAAATTACAAAGTGGCTCTGCCCACACTTTTATTTGAACACCGTGTATGGAGTTGAGGCAGGCTGAGTGACAATAGTTTTTCACACTAGCTAAAGGCTGATGTTTCTTTAGATCGGTCGTTCTTTTCACCGCCTACCTCTCTTCATCCCCCTTACACTGGTTTTGCATTTATAGTAGCTTGTCTGAAGGGCAAGCTTATTCAAAAGGTGCTACCTGATGACCAAAAATGTCAGTCCCAGATGTTTAACTACAGGCCTAAGCCAATAGTTGCTTGACTTTTCTTTGGCACTGATAACTCCTCCAGACGTCAAGTCCAAATGACCCTTAGCGTTTCCAAGACGACATAATTATGTTAATTACTGTTTTGTTGTTTTACTTGCTCTAATGGAACAGGCCCTGGAGATGTAGGATGTTATGTAATTACTTAGGACCTTTTTAAGATGCTACAGAAATGATTTATTGATGCAAAATACTTAAGGGGCAAAAGTCAAACAGATTTAGAGTGTGAATTATTCTAACATGAACTAAAGTATGGTAATTTGTATATCACACTATTTGTTTGAAAATGCTATATTTGAAAATCAGAAACTTTTATTTCAAAACCAATTCAATTCTGGCAAAGTATTAAGGCCCATATGCCAAAAACCATTCCATCTGCGAGTGGCTCCCCTTAAATCATCTGGTACTGAGAAAACCACATCCCATGAATTACTCCTGGCAAATGGGCAGATTTCACCCTCATGTACTAGCAGTGATAATGGGACGAAGGGCAGATGACCTAAGTAAACTAACAATAAACGGTAGTACAATAAAGTAGGGATTTAAAAGACACATGGCATTATTATTCAGTTTAATTACCTGAAGCTGAGTATCTGAAAGGGCATACTTAGGAACCTCTTAAGTATCCCCTCCCTCTCCTCTTTTTTGTAAATTTTGTACTACATAGCATCACTTTTTCTTACTTCCCCCACATGTCGCTTTGCTCATAGTTTAAATATTTGTTTAAAAACAAAAGTAAAATGAGCACTGCCATTTGTAGAATGACATATAGGACCTCCCTAAGTGCAGAGAAAAGCTTGTTTCAAAGGATTCTAGTAATTTTGGCTACATTTAAAATATTTTAGTTGACCTTAATTACAAAAACATAAAATTATAAAGAATGCAATACCACAACTGCATGTTAATATAAGTGACAGATTAATTAATTGTATTAGCTTGGATAACTTTACAGCAATACCAGCAGCTGTTCTAAAGGCTTGAATAAATATGTTAAAGAATGGAGAGAAAAAAAAATTTACTGAGTACATGGTAAGTACCAGACAGTGTGCTAGTTGTTTTATACATGGTATTTCATTTAATTCTTGCAAATATCTTTGAGCTTACTTTTTATCCCTATTTTACAGCTCAGGAGACTGAGGCATACCTAAGTAAATTATGCTACCAGGAAGAGGTGAGTTAGTACTGGAACTCAAACCTCATTCCACAGTCCACATATACTCGTTTTACTGTACTACTCTGTCCCATTTTTCTCTTTTTTAAAAAAAAGAGGGTATTCAAAAACTGTATTCATTGGGCTCTTGTGGTGTTAAGTAACGGGTGTGCACTCAGGTTACCTCAAGTAGGGGCAAAGAATACATGTGGAAATAAGACCAGCGACTTAACTAGCTTGTCAGGTCATCCTTTGTGGGCCTTGGGGTGGGGACCTGTGCCTTTGAGGGGTACCAGGAACATAAAAGCCACTACCCTCTGACCACATTCCTATGAGCTTTGTAGTTTAAATCATATATTTCACAATGTTTTCTCCAATGCCTTTGTCATTATAATCTTAATAACAATCATGTTAACATGTTACTTTAAACAATGTTTGTTTTTAAGACAGAGGACCCAAAGGAGGTAACGGCTTCCTCTGTCCCTATATGCCATCCCTTCCCCAACCCAGTGCTTTGCTAGTAAATACTAAACAACCAGATCTGGAGGAGGGAGGCCTGAATTGTAACAAAAACCCAATTTATGTGAAGGTCAATATTCTCACCAACCTGAGTCTCTGCGGCAGATCTGGGAAGAGATGCACTCAACAAGGAAGTTTTTCTAACTACACTCAATCCAAACGCCCCAAATCCCGCTTTCCCGAACTGGGAAGTAGAATGTCGTCACTCTTACCCCTGCTGAGAAACGGTTTTACACTGAGGGGAGCACGCCCCTACGCCTCAAGGTGCTGGAGTGGGAAGAGAGTTGAGGAGAACTCTTCTCAGCAACACGAGGGACACAGAGTCAATGCTGACTGGCTAAGGGAGACACCAGACATTTCCCCCCAGATTCTGAAAAAGGATTTCTACCTCCATAACACCCTTCCAGCCCCCAGTCACCAGTGCGCTGAAATGACAAGGACTCTTAAACGAAAGGCTGAATTAAAGTGAGCAGGAAAACCTTCTTTTCATGGTAAAATGGTTTGCCTTTCAAATGGTATTTTTAAATTTTACACAGTTGAGGCCATTCCCTTTGTTGATTAATTCTGGAGAGATCTGAAGATTGTAGTTCCATGATTGATGTGCTGCCTGATTCTACCAGCTTTGGCTGTGGATATCCTACAACAAGTAATACAGATTTAACAAGACTTTCGATACTGCAGAGAATTAAATAATCCTCTCTAGACCTGCTTGGATTTGGCAAGATTGTACCACATAAAGCAGTATATGCAAAATCAACTACACACACAGAATAAAGGGGTGGGAGAGGCATGAGAATACTTTTTAGTTGAGACAGGAAGATTCTGATGGAAGACTTGATTCTACTTTCACTTGGTCTCTGTTCCTGAGCACTTATATCGAGAGCATCTCACCTATGGTGTGTGTGTGTGTCCAGTGCTGGAAGGTGTGTTTTTTTTGCACAACTTATCTCTAACTGCCAACCAGCACCTTCATGTGTTGTTCATCCAAAGTGGCTCCAGTCTGATCCAGTGGCAGAGAAAACCCTGGCTGTGTTGGGCTTCCTTAGAAATGGAATGTTGCCCTCCAAAACAGTGCTTCAGGAACTTCTGCGGTAGTTTTACCTTTGCCGATAAAGCTTCTGAGACAGTGGGTAAGTTACTTAATTACTCTAAGCTTTGATATTCTTTCTTCTCTGTATAATGGAAAAAAATAAAAGTACCTACCACTCATGATGCTTTGTACTTAGCCCTATGCTAGCAAATGGTAAATCCTTAATAAATGTCAATCTAGAACTAATACTAGTTACTTTTATTTATTGCTTACTAACTTTCAGTCACCACAAAGTCACTCTTTGCCTTTAAGCCTTATCTGATATGATTTCCTCCATCTGAAATGACTCATAGTTTCTCTTCACAGCTCAGAGGCCTACATTTGTATTCATAATCAGCTCTTAAGGAAGTCTATTCAGATTTAGTAATCCTTTCAACACATATTTTCTTCAAATTTGCTTTTTATATTTATACCCAAGGTTACTAATAGGAACTATGTTTCAAATATACTTTTAAGTTTTAACTTCCTCGAAGTAATCAGATTAGAAGGCTACACAACACGATTATTCAAGCTATTTTGCGAAAACCAGTTTTAGAATTGCCATCAAAATATACAATGCATTTTGAAAAATATTTTCAACACAGGAAAATCATCTTTGCATTCATTCATTCGTTCATTAATTCAACAAATATTTCTTGAATGCTTACTATATGCTGGATAGACAATAAACAATAAGCCAGTAAAATATTTAGTATGCTACAGTGATAAGCTGCTAATAAGAGAAATAGGGCAGGGAAGGTTGCTGAAAGTGTTGAGGAAGTAACATTAAAGACATGAAAAAAAGAAGGAAGCCATGAGGGTATTTGGGAGAGAGAAACAGCAAGTGAAAAGGCCACGCCCCAGGCAGAAGCAGGCCTGCCTTGTAGGAGGACCAACCAGGAGGCCGGATGGAGAGAAGAGGGTGAAAAGGGACCCCGTAGGGGAAGCATTAGGAGATGTGGCTCCAGAGGCAATCGTGTAGCGCCTTATGGGTTATTACAAGGACTTTGGCTTTCATTATGAGTGATGGGAAGCTACTACAGGGTTTCCAGCAGAAGAGCACCATGATCTGACTTACACTTTAACAGAGTAAATTTGGCTATTCTGTTAGGGAGTAAGAGACAGAAGGGGAGACCAGGAGGTCCTTGAAGTAATCCCCGTGAAAGGTAATGGTGATTTCGGAGTAGGGAGGAAGCAGTGGAGGTGGTGAAAAGTGATAAAATTGCAGATAATTTTGGGAGGAGGGGTCAACAAGATTTGCTGATAGACCAAATGTAGGGTGTGAAAGAAAGAGAGGTGAAGAATGTCTCTATGCTTTTTTCTTCCTTTTTGGGGGGCTGAGTACCACAGTACTGCCATTTCCTAAGCAAGGGATAACTTACAAGTATGTGGTGGGGCAGTATGTTAGAAGGTCAATTTTGGACATGTTTAATTTGGAATGGCTTTTAGAGGCACAAGATAATGTTCCTCCAGGTCATCTAAAGTACATGTAATGTTCATGAAAATCGCATGGATAGAGGAATGTCTGGGCTGCAGGAAGCACAGAAATGATATTTAAACCATGAGAAGTCCTTGGATTGATAAAAAAAAAGAGCCAGTAGGGCCACTAAAGGCTACAGAGGTAGTAGGAAAATCAGCCCAGCATGGAGGCCTAGAAGGCAAATGGAGCTTTTTATTTACTTAGGATGTATTTGCTTTGTGGAAAAAGACAAGAATTATTTAGAACCAAAATAGAATAGATGAATAACCAAAGTTACATCCTTTTTATGCTTTTAAATGTGTAGGTGTAAGATATTAAAACTGATTTTTTGGTGTGATTTATAAATCGACTCTTAAACTTACCCTAAAAGATACTGTCTAGATACTGGGAAATAGCAGCACTGGAAGGCAGGTATATTGCACCACTGGGACTGCTCTGAAAAGCCATCCCTATAAGTTGAATGGCCAAACACGCAATATTTGTGGTGTGTGAAAGACAGCTAAGTGACATGGTCTACCAGACAGGTGGAAATAAGGACATAACTTCAGAGATGAAGAGGAACCTTTGGGAGGCTCAAATATATACCAAGTGGTTTTAAGACTGTTGTTTGAAGTGTTATACAATTGTTGCTTGTAGTGTTATACAATTGTTGCTTGTACCATTTTTAAAGCTGGTGGTCATAAAAGTGGAGAGAGAAGGAAACTTGCAGTTGGCAGATTTCTGTTCAAACTCTGGCTATGCCATGTGACAGACGTGCATGACTACAGTTCACATCTCTGGAGTTTAGTTACCTTATCTTTAAAGTGAAATAATTCCCGCTCTGCCTATTGTGCAAGATGATGGTGGAAGCTTAATGATATAAGGAGGGGGCTTTCAAACTGCTGATGTCTAAAGCAAAAGTCATGATTGAAGCAAGGTGTGTTTTTCTAAATTCACCCCCTTTTCTTAGTATAAGCCACAGTTCTTTATATATCTTGAAGACACCTGAGATCTTGATTTAAAAAAAAAAGTATACACACACACAACTTGGTATACAAATTGCACTGATTGAAAATCACTTTGAAAAACAATAGGAGTCATTGTAATTTCTTGTGTGGAAGAGAAACTTAATGAAAGTAGGATCTAAAAGAAATTTAGTGTGTCGCAGGCTATGGGGCAGATCAGAAGACAACAGCAGTGTTGGGAAGGCCACCCACACAGATGCAGAAACCCTAGATTGAGGTAATGAGAGCCCCTAGTCTAAGACGGTAGCAGTGAGCCTAGAGATGCACACGGAGATATGGTAAGAATAGAGTTGCCAGATAAAATGCAGGATGCCCAGATACATTTGAATTCTAGATAAACACCAAATAATTTTTTTAGTAAATCCTAAATATTGCATGGGGCATGCTTACACTAAAACGTGGTTCATAGTTTATCTGCAATTCCAATTTAACTGAACATCCTGTATTTTTATTTGCCAAGCCTGGCAACCCTAGAGAGAAACTGGTGAACTTATTCCTACCCTCATCCCCCGTCTCTGAGGCATATTCTGAAACAACAAACAAAACAATGTGTTCGACTGTGAAATGAGGTCACTAAGAGCTAGTCCAGCTCTTTGTGGATCCTGAATAGATCAATAAAAATGTCAAATAGTTCTTTACAGATCTATTTATTTCCCAGCCAGGGCATGAGCCTTACTAATACTGTGGCTATATGCTATTCTCGATATATAAATTTATACCACCCAGTATAATGTGGATGTGTTTAATGTATTAGCTAACCAGCAAAAGAATCACCAACCAGCTCATGGTTGCCCTGGGGAGAACACTTTTGATTAGAAACATGAACCAGAGGACCCACAATCCATCCATCACCCCCACCTACACACATGCACGTGTGAGACTGGGCAAGGAAGACTTTTCCTTGTCCAGCCCAAACCTGTGGCCTTACTTGATTAGACAATGTATGGCTGAGTGGGAAGGAAGGAGTTCAGACAGTGAGTTCCCTTTCAGTGGAGGAGTAGGAGCAGTTGAAAGATTCAAAGAAGGAAATCCATTTGAGGTGGTATTACAAACCCAGTCAGGACACACAGGAGCATTCAAGGTGACTTTCTCTGTCTAAAAACTTAAGACCCTTAAGGTCTTATCATCTCCTGGGCAATGCAAGTGAAAATTCAAAATACAGCTGCAAAACTTCAACGCTTATCTCTTCTACTTTGTAATTCTGTTCTGAAATTACCTTTACCAGGCCCTAGTGTCTCACTTTGTGGAGGCTGAAAGGTCACGATAGTAAGGAGAAAGGGGTCTGGTTTCAACTCACTTCTCTGGTAGATACAGGGACAAATTAAGATTCACAACTGATGATCAACAGTACCCAAGAACAGCCCACAGTGAAGCTGGAAAAAGGACCACAGCCCACACCTCTGGGGAGCATTTTGAGGACAGGTGGAGGAGAAAGTAAGGCCAGACCTCGGGATTGGCCCATGGCTTAGTGAAGGCTGCCCCTAAGCACAAGTGAGTTTTACAAATTTGGGGGTGATAGAGATATGGAGCAAGACTTGGCAGGACTTGGATACTGACTGAATTCTCAGCAATCACAGAGAACATTGAAAAGCAGGGAGGCTAGATTCTTCTTTTGTGACTCCCCTTGGTGTGATGAGTGCTCAATAAATGCGCTGACTTTTAAACTGGGGCAGAAGGAGCAGGGTTTGAAGGGGAAGGTGGGAGACGCTTAAGGAAGAATTTGTATATGTTAGAATTTACATATGTTTCAAATAGACCAAATAAACCCATAAGCCACTTAACTTTCCATAGTTGCATAAAATGTAATAAAAATCGGAAAAGTTAGTTCCTTCTAAAAACCATTATATTCTGTTCCTAGTGGTAACAATTACAACTAGAACTACAAGTAAAATTGGCTGGCGTTAATAAAAACATGTAACTATATCACAACCAAAGCTCTGAAAACTCAAGAATTAGTGGAAAGAAAACCTAAAGAGACATTTAGTAGAGTGTCTAAAGTAAAAGCAAAACATTAAAACAATAAAAACATTTTCCAAAGGAATCAAATGAAGCACAGCTAATTTAGTTTCACTTCACATCAATAAGGAAAAATACACTGGAAAATCTACACATTAAGTAAGCAATGATATTATATAAACATATATGAATGAAACAGCTCTGAACTATTTCCAACTTTGCCTCTAAAATTCCTTTGGTCTGATGGCAGAACATATTATTTCCTGTTCTTGTATTCTGTGGGAAGTAGCACACCCATTTTAATCTTTGTCACTTTTTCCCTGTATCAACATTCATGCAAGGTGCTGTACTGATAATTCTCCCTCGGTTGATATCTCAGATCCAGAAGCCATCTGGCAGTGGGTCTCAAAATTAAATATCAGAATACCTGAAGAACTTGTTACTGTCCTGGGATTTCTCCCAGGTACAGTGATTCAGATCTGGTGAGGGATTCAGGAATCCGAATTTCTAACAAGGACCTCAAATGATTCTAAGACAGGCTCTCCAGAGATCTTTGAGAAATTCTGGTTTAGAGTAACTAGAATAATTTTCATGTCTACTTTCCAACTGGAGAGGATAATG